TCCAGTAGTTGGAAGTAGAGATGGGAGTCACAACTAGCCGCAACTCTGTCACAATTCTCTGATTGGCTGCCGTAACTCTATCGCAATTCTCTGATTGGCTGCCGCAAGCCGCAATTAGTTGAGGAGCCATCTTTAGTTGGAAGAACCTTTCAAACTATGCAGAGTTCTTGAGAGCCAGTTACACTACCAGATCATGATTTTTCAATTGGTATGCAGTAAAAGTTGATCCCATCAGTCTATCTGCTAATAAATCCAAGGGATACAAATGATACCTTTCGTAATAGTCAACTGTCGATTTTTATCTATCCACAATATCAAGTTGGTACAAGCTCTGCCACTCATATGAATGACTTAAATTTGTTGATGCAAGACGTTTATTTCAATAGAATATTGAAAACTGATGGCCAGATCAAACCCATTTGGATCCTTTTAGTTGATGGAGGTCCAGATAAAAATCCTCATCATATAAAGAACATCTTTGAATATTGTAGGATGTTTCACACCTTTGATCTCAATTATCTCTTAGTTAGAACACATATTCCTGATCAATCGGCATATAACCTAGTTGAGCATAGTATGACAATACTTTCTCAAAAACTTGCTGGAATAATATTACTAATCAACAAATATAGTTCTCATCTCAATTCTCAGGGCCAAGTAATTGATCCAGAGCTTGTGATGAAAAACTTTTGTTATGCTGATGAGGCCTTGTGTACTCTTTGGAAATGAGATCCTATCTTTAGAAAGGCAGTTATAACGTAATATACTGAACAAAAAAGCTCTCCTTTTGCTGATATCACGTTCTCAGAGTATGATGAAGGAAATACTAATGAATCTGTGCCTTGGCAATGGCTAAAAAATCATACCAAAATATGTCAATACTCTCTTGATATCAAAAAATGCAAAAACACTTCTTGTTGCTCATCTAAACGATATGAAGAGGTAGCTATTCTTCTTACGGAAAATAATGGGTTTCTTCTACCTATGACAAAAGGAAAAGATAGTCATTATCTGAATCCACTTCATGTATTAGAGTATTGTGACAAGGTCAAAATACCTGAATATGATGCTTATTATCCTTCAACTACAAGCAATTATATTTGTCTCTGTTGCTCCATTTGCAACACATATTTTCTGACACTTTCATTGGTTGCACTATATAAGAAAAGTTAGCATCCAAGATGATGAGGATGACCAGCTAAGCAAAAGTGACCTACTAATTCAATTGATGATTTTTCTGTTGATTCTGGACAAGTACTGACCTCACACAGCCGTGAAGTATTCTCAGAAGGTGAGTAAGAAGGTAATTATGATCTGAGATTTAGGAGGGTGGTGAGGAGATACTTGAGGTCTTAGGAAGGCTTAGAATAATTGAATGTCTGGCATCATTGGTGTTGATGAAAATGAGCGGGTATAATAGTTGTTGTGGTCTTTCTGGTCATGAATAATTTGCTGGTGTGTGAATATATAGTCTGATATACTGATCATGAGAAAAATAAATCAGACTACAGTGATTTACATTTTACATTTCTATATTCTAATTGGCTATTAAATTAAAATCACGTGCCACTTTAATTAAAATAATTAGACCTATTCTGATTGGCTCATGTTACTTAAAGTTACATGAGACGTGAGATTTTGATTACCCCCTCTTCTCCTCTTTCATAATAACATCATATATATCCATCCCCTAACTATATTAATATTTATTCAAGAGTATCTGAATTATAATTTTTAAACTATTATAAGGTATTTAATAGTTCTTTATTTAATTTTAATTGACTCAGATTAGATATTTCTACAAGTAAGTCTTGTTACTTTCTTTGTCTTTGTTCTGTTAGATATTTACTTCTTTTATCTTTGAATTCAAATATCTCTTATTACAGTTTATAGAGATATATTTATATTTGTTTTGTTAATAGATTAGTTTCTTCTTTAATTAAAGTTACAAAATCTTGTCTTGTCTTGGTTTGAATTTCATTATATATTACTTCTTAATAAAAATGATAGAATTTTTCTCAGATGACTTGGCAATCAGAATTAGTATAATTTTCAAGATATAATTTAATAAATAATTGAGCAGAGTCTTTCTCTTTCTACTTTGATTTTTCTAGTTAGATTCACTTTAATATGTTGCAAAATTATTTTTTTAGTTACTTTTTGATTCTCTATTAATTTCAATTTAATTCACAGAGAATTCTTTATTTAGATCTAAGTTGAATTGGTAGCTCTTTAGAATTATTTTTTTATAGAGGGAACATCAAAAAGTTATTATCTTTTTGATACAAATTTGATATGAGAATGAGTATTAATTCTAATATTACAAAAGTATATGATAAAAATAATCATATGCTTATAATGATGTTAGAAGAGTCTTGAAAAGATTTATTAATAAGAATATAAATGCTACTATTTCAAGATTTATTTAAAAATAGATAATGATAGTATTCTTATTGTAACTAACTAGAATGTAGTATAATTTCAAGACAGATATAATATTCAGTTTATTAATAAAATAAAATAATAAATTTTAATTAAGATTTATTCTACAAGAAAGATTTCTTAGAATTCTCTTAAAACTAAAATCTACTTAAATATAAATTGAGAACTAAACTCATAGAACTCAAACTAGACTAAATAACTAACTAATTAATTTGTTAACTGAGTTATTCAAATTTACTAGCTAAGATATATCACTTTTATATATTTTAAAGATTATACAAATGATACTTTTATTATGATACTTATGCTAGTTTTACTATAATCTAAATATTACTTTAGTTAGTATTATAATATTGATTTTATTATGATAGTATTATTAGTTTTACTATAATAATTTTGCTAACTTTGCTATTATAATTTTGTCATGATTATTATATTTGTAAAATCTTTTACAAATAATATTTTTTAAAGCTAATGTCTAATAAGATATAAGTAATTATTTATCTAATTATATTATGATATGAAATAATCAATAATATATAATTAATTATTTTACTAAAAGCTCATATCATAATAATATCTTAAATCTAATTCTTATCAAGAAATTAAATAGAAAGTTAAGATACTACATATTAGATTTAGATATAGCTCTTATATTAGATCTGCAAATGATAATACATAACTGATTATATTTTTTTTGTTTATATAGTTTAATAATAGAAATTAATTATAATCATCAAACTAATATATATTATATTACATATAAGTAATGATAAAAATTTACTATAATTATCATTTAAATAATATAAAAAATAGAAATTATATATCAAATTATCTATATATTTTAATAATTCTTAAATAATGAAGTAAATATAAATCATATGTTAAGTTATTTATATATTCTGATAATTCTTGAATAATGAAGTAAATATAAATTATATATTATCAGATTAGCAGATTATAAACATCTTAGATAGTTAAGTAACTTGAGTTTTACAATTTACATATTATTTCTAAGACTATTATAATCTAATTTAAATTATTTATAATTTATATAAATTATAAATAACTTTAAAATAATAAACTTATTTAAAGTCTATTATTAAAAATTATATTTTCAATATATTTTGAAAGTTATGAATGCTGATAAAAAAATATTTCATCTTAATATCAAGAAAGTAATTAGTTTTAATTTAGAAGTATGATAAAATATTACTTGTTAAATAATCATTAATTACTAAAAAAAAATTAAAATAATATTATTAATAAAGTAAAATTAATCAAATTTAAATATTCAAGAATATAATGAAAATAATATAAATTAAAAACTAATGTTAAATAACTTATTTCTAATATTTCTATCAATATTATGCAAGTTAATAATTATATTCATATTGATGATATTATTAAGACTGAAAAGATTATTATTAAGAAAGAAGTAATTATAGAAGAAATGATTCAAATATTTGATTCTGATAATATCAATGAAGATAGTGATATTGAGATCAAGAAAATTTCCTATTCTGTGATCTTGAAGCAATGTAAATCACTTTTGCAATATGTAAAATAACAAGATCTAGCAAAATTTGTAAAGTAAGATTTATTAAGATTGCGAATTTATTATGATGTATTTAATCAAATATATTTGAGACAAAATAACAAAAAAAGTTGACAGATTTTTTTATTAAAGAGAGAGAAGACTCCTAATGATTTATGTTTATGTAAAAGATGTAAAAGAAATAAAGTAAAGAGGTTTATATGGAAAAAGCAAAGTACAAATGAGACTAAAGTTATATAGAATTATGAAAGTCTTAAAAGTAATAATAAATTTGTATTAGTTTCTCTTAAAATTCTTAAAAGAATAATAATACATTATAAAATATGCATATGATGTAAATGACGTATTTATTTAAACCACCCTAACCCCAACCCCAATTAATCCTAACCCCTTATGATATTCACCCCCGCATATATCAACAAAATAGGCCGGTCCCGTGAGGTTGATATTAGAGGGGGTAGACTGTATATTTAAAATCAAAATCCAATTAGATACACAGTGGTTCTCTTTATAGTGTATCAAAAGAAATTTAATAGTAAAAATTTTTTCAAAATCCACTATATCGAGAGTTTATTAGTAAATTTACTATATCGAGTGGATTTTATTAAAGGTAATTTTGGATATTATCCACTAAGTCGCCAGGTAGGATGATCTGAAAATTCCGAAAAAAGAACTCAGAAAATGCATTAATTCCCACATTTAATAAGCTATGGGTTCAGATTTTGTGAGAATTCATGTCGTTTGAACGTTACATTTTATTATGGAAATTAGAAATTTATTATAATAATTTAATATTCTAGAAATATTTTTAAAAAATGTAAAAGTCTGTCAGTGAAAATGTAATAAAAAATCGAGGATGAAAATCGCATTTTACGTGTTTATTTCCTTTTCTGTCAATTTCTTCAAGACACATGATGAACTTCATAACATCTAAAAAGAACACTAATACTGAATTAATCAGGATTCTTATAAGGATTTGCCGTGACCAATGACAATAAATATGTCTCCCAAATCAATAAAAATGCTATCGCTATTATCATTTCGAAGGATATGGGATTTAATACCAAATTCAGCTGCAAATTCCAGAATATGGCGCAGTTATACTAATGATACAAAGACCCAAAAATCAGGAACAAAGATCGATGACAATCGAGGGAACGAAGGACTACGTTATAAAGGATATTGGACATTAATTCTAAATCAGGTAATCATGTGCGATAATTACCGTAGTTCTCGCAAAATAGTACCCGGGTCTCTTACATTATAGAACCAAAGCCAATGAGGAACTATTAACAAAAAAAGGGTGGTGGATTCTTTATCAAGGGGGTAGGTACTATTCGTTGAGGATTACGGTAAGTGCTTGAAGTTCAAGAATTTTACTCACATTTTTCTAATATTTGCCGAAGCCACCAAGTGCAAAGCAAGAGAATAAAAGCCTGATTCTTGATAATGAAGATAATGGCGATAAACGATTTATTAATAGTCGTCGTAATCATGATTCCATTGCTTCGATCGCGTTAAAGACTGACCAAGCAATTGAAGATCAACCGATTTTAACTGTTGATGGTGAAATCATCCCGCCAAAACCGACGTTTCCCGATAATTGTTGTATGAGGTTTGGAATAACTTTAAAACACCTTATAATCACTATATTATTCAAAAAATTACTTATCTGGCTTTGACGTATTTAAAGTGGATGTGCGCATTGGTATGATTCTGAGGCAGGTGTTTTTGTCTGTGATAAAGCTTGAAATAAACCGTTTTATAACCTTTAAAGCGTATTAGATATCTACGCGGAAGAGTATCGCGAATGGCGTGAAAACACTGCGCGAATACGTGATCGATTGCTTCAAGAAGGGAAACCTGTTCCAATGATTCTTTTGCAAGATGAAGATTCTGGTAGAGACATGTCAACAACTCAATCGTCAAGTCAACAAGAAATTGATAGTGCAACAAGTTCAAGAGATCCAGGATTAGATGAAGGGATGAGAGCATTTATGGAATTGGAAAGGAAATTAAAAGGAAATTGATGTATTATAACTCAATTCCAAAATTTTTATTAAATCGAAGATTATTTTAATTTACATGATTAATCTAATTCTAGAAATGGTCTCAAATTCGTATATTAACAAATTAATCATTTAACAAATTCTCCGGTAAAGATTTATGATGTGGATCCGTTAATGCTCTTCCTAATTCTGAGCCTAACGAGAATGCTACGTTTCGCGGAACCGAGTTTCCTATCGACGAATTTATTAAAAGATTAAGTATAAATGAATTGATTTGATAAAGAATGCAATGATAAGTACCAATAATTTTGTATTGGTCATATATTGATCCGCAGATTATATCAGAATCTAGGAATCCTAGGAAAAAAATTCATTCGAATTGAGTTAATTGATATACTGTAAAAAGAATTTTTCGTACATACCTTGACCTCGCGCTACTTCCCGAACGCTCAAAGTACGAGGTTCTTCATAATGAATGATTTGAGGATGCTGTAAAAAAAAGAATTGGTTTAGCAAAAACGTGTAAAGTATGATAATAATATTAGAAAAAGCTATTATTTACGATTCCGTTAGGTTCTATAAATTAAAGACAATATTAATAAATGCGTGTAAAAATATGGAAAAGGCCAAGAAATACTAACTCATGCATGTACAGATCGTTGGGAATACGCTGTCGCCGTCTACACGTTGACAATATCGGTATTTAAGTTTTTTCCAAACATCTGCAAATCTTTTCTTTTTAGCTTCGTAACTAGGATGATGGAAAATTTCAGGAATAAGATTCATTTGCCGAGCCGAATAATAATCGGCGTTTCCAATCGAGGGTATTCTTCTCAGCAGCTCTTTTGATAAGTAATTTACATTGTGTGGAATATGATCCGGATACTGAGGATTCCAAAAGATGCCGGTATCCAACTCGGGTAAGTCTCCTATTAATTTTTTTACGGTAATTAATGGGAAACTCGTTATAGGATTTTCTTCTACAGTTAATCCATCCAACCTATGTAATACAATAAAAAATTATTTATTGAGAATTATACAAAGATAACTACATAGAAGTTAAAAGGGAATCATGATCTTACCTTGATTTATTGGGCAGTTTAAAAGTTGTTGCGTACCCCTTATAGGATTTTGAGAACCGATGTGTTATGGGTGGCATTTCAGGAAGAACTTCGTTCTCTGCTGCACCCCATAAAAATATTCTGCAACGAGATTGAGCACAACCCATGCTTTCCGCAGATACTAATCCAAATCTGATTTGGTATCCTAATTCAAGCAAGCAGGCAATAAGCCTCATAAATACTGAATTAAGAATATTAAAATTTTTCGAATTAATGATTTTTGCGAAGATAAATTCTTTTAACAGAGGTTAAAATCAAAAGTCTTACTTAGAGATTTAGCCATTATCGCAACGTTTTCCAAAAGAACGTATTTCGGATGGTAATAGTCAACGAATGATGCCAGCGAAGTAACCAAGGAGTTATTCTGTTGAGTTTTTTCATTATATTTATGGTAGTTCATTTTCGAGAATCCTTGACACGGAGATCCTGCTAGGATAATATCGACATCACCCTACATTAATGAATTTATATGAATTATTAAATAAATAAGACATAAAGTTGCTCATTTCAAATACTGACTTTTTTTGGAAATTTGGTTTGCCTTGGTTGACTTATAACATCTTGCAGCACTTTATTAACACTTTCGTGAATAAGAGTAATATTATCAGATGCGTTCTCACGATAAGTCATTAGAGCAGCCTCATATTTGTCAACGGCCCTAACAGAGAATCAACGTTTAGTCTTAAGAGTTTATACTTGTTTTCAAAAAAGTGTAAAAGAAAATTTATTTACCAATGACATTCTACGAATCCGGCATCCTCAAATCCACGACCTAAAGAACCACCACCACAAAATAGATCTAAACCTCTTAATTTTTCTATGTCCGATACTTTATAATAATAATCAGGGAATAAATCAGCGAATTTTGAAGACTTGAGCGGCTTGATCTCTCTTGTTTCAACATTATATTTTCTAGAAAAGAAAAACTAAAAAGAACTCAGTTTGACCTCTTTTTTGATTTGTATATTACTGTAAAAAGACCGAAAACTGGATGTGATCAGACATACATGATTCGCCGATCCTCGATGCTGAAGATTTACAGGCAGTGGGTCTCCGAATTTTAGATATTCTACGTGGCACAATCGAATGTCATTATCAAATTCATCATATTCAAATATATACTTTGAATATAATAATTCGTTGATAGGGTGGGTTGATTCCTTGTTCGATAATTCGATTTCAAACCACCGGTAAAATCGCCGTAACTTTATAATTTTTCGATCTTTAACGATCTCTTCGATACATGCGACGGTTAATATGTTTTTGGGATCTTTATCTTGAGGAGGTATAAGTATACAATCCCCAATTTCGTATTTTTCGATAAAATTCTCGAACGGACTCTTTTTCTCGGCAGTGCAACCACAAATACGTGGAAGTTTACTCGGGTTCAGAAATTCCTTCGGCAAGGTTAAAAAATCCCCCTCGGTATGTTTATAAAAATATCGACAAAAATAATAATTCTCTTCGTCTACGAGGGAAATTTCTCTTTTATTTAATTCTATTTTAATGTTAGAAAGACGAAGCAAGATTTTAACAAGAGACTTACCGGGACAAGAGCTTGCAAAGAAGTTGACCTTAACTTTTCGTTTTATGCTAGTCAGAGGTTGGGCTTTATCGCATTCGCAGTGTTTGGTAAAAAACAACTCTCTTCGTGATTGTCGATGGAAATCTTCATCGAGATTTGAGAGGACTGTTTGCGACCTCGTGTACATCCAGAGCATACGAAATTGTGCAACTTCATTTCGATTTTCTATGAATTCAGTAATTAAACTATAATAGATTCGACCGCTTAATATGAGCAAGAGAAGAAAAGACGAAAAGATCAACATTATTAAAAGTACCCACCACAACCATTTATCGCCATCTGTCCACCCAGATTCTTTATCGTCCTGTAATTCCACGACATCACCAATAGAGAAAATCACCGAATCAATCTCAACTTGATGGCATATTCCGTCTTTTTGTGGTAAAAAAATCGATTCGACATTTCCTATTTTAAATTCCTTATTGTTTACGCAGATATTATCGCTTAATGATGATTCCTTATCATTCCAAGTCGTGTTATCTTTATGCTCTGAATTAACAATAAAAATCAGTCTTGTTAAAAGGTTAAAAAGATTCAACGATATGATGAAGTTGTTTCTCACCTATGATCTTTAATTGATCTCCGAATATGTCTTCGAACCAACGATAGACCGTCGGCGTAACGATAGTTTCCTCTTCATGGTCCTGTATAATGAATGAAACTCTAAATAAAAATCGAATTATTTATTTAAGGAACATAATATATTTATATATACCCCAAGACGTTTAGGATTCGCAAATCCAAGTTCTAGCCAAAATGGAAATAATAAGTAAAATAAAAAGACCCAGAAGAAAAAGACCAATTGAAAGTATACCTTGAAATACCACGAATTTTTTATATGTCATCACATCAAGATAAGTAGCTTGACTCCACAGAAATCGAGCGCACTCTATTATTGTCGGTCTAAAATCGGTTCTTGCACCCACACAAGAAATCCATTTTTCATAAGCCTCATCACCAGCACAATTTTTATTTAACCAACTATGGAAATTTGATTTGAAATCTGAAAGTCGAATTTCTTCGCTTGAAGAATCAAGGTAATCAATAAAATATTTGGCCAGCGTAGCTTTCCAGTGGAAGACTTGAAATATCTTTTCATATTCGGGATGAGGGTTTTTAAGCCGATACCAAAGATTTTTATCTTTTGACGATCTAAACCATATTGTGATTTCAGAGATTTCGATGCCATAGCCTCCGATAGAAATTTCTTTTAATGGTACCTAATTAAAAGATTATAATCAAGGCTTGCTTTAGAATAATAAAAACGAACCGTAGTAGTAAAGACTTGATTATTAGATAAGTTATATACCTCTTCCCATTCAAAATCTTCGTCTTCAATGGTTACCGTTGCATTCCAATAGTAAGTTCTGTCCCCCCTCACCTCATGCAAATCAGATATAGGGATATACTAAAAACAAGATTATCTATAAGTTCCATGGATTAAAAGAATTGCCATATGGAATATATGTAGTGATACCTCGAAATTTTCATCGTAAACACAAAAATTCGTTATTTCATATTCTTGATCGTTATCGTCGTCTTCATCATCGTCGTCCTGATCATCATCGTCCTGGTACGCGTGTACCAGATGATCACTTTCAGTAAAAATATTTTTGTCTTTCTTTGACTTTAAAAAGGCATTTTTCGCTTTGTTTCTAAATGGAACTTTAACGCATATACTGGTATCCTAGCAATTAAAAAGAAAATTAAGATTGAAGTTTTATATGGCACATTTTGAAAAACAACCAATTATTACTGTATGCTCGTTTGTGTCCATCACGACTTTTATATTAGTTGTTTTATCGGGTATTTGAGGATCATATTTATTTGTTCGTTGAGAATCATCAATAATCATTTCTGTATATTCTTCATTCATGTCATTATTTACAACATTATTATGACCAACATCAACTATGATCTCTTCACTATACGCGTCTTTCAATAAGTGATCGCTTGTTTCAGTTATTTCCATATGATCACTATTCCATTCTTCCTCTTTAGCAGTTGGTGCCTATAGAATCGAGGAATATTATAGATGTAGATTGACACTTAGATAAAGATGTCAATGAGCGTAGAAAATATCAATTCAGTATTTACTTCCTCATTTTCTAACATCAATTGCGATGATTGTCTCGTCTAAAATAGATACAATAAATAGAACATAAATTTATGCGAATATAAATCACGGATAAAAGAAGCACAATACATACCGAAATTCGACTTGAACTCGGCGACAAATTTTGGTCGATTGGATCAATTATCGTGAGAGGACTCTAAAGATGAAGATTCAATATGATGTCAAATCAATTTAACCGAAAAACACGAGGAAATGTTCGAAATTACCCTCTTGCCGATTCGAAAGGGGGAAGGGATATTTTGTAATTCCATTACTTCGTCTTCCGAATCGGTGTTTATTTCGATTAAATTAGGCTGAACGAATGAACAAATATAATATACAATGTTTTTTTATGTGCGAAATCTTCGTTTCATAAAAAAAGAAACAAAAATAAAAACAACACATACGCCAACGTCAATTACGGGAGACAGCTTTTTCTTTTCAGTATTCTTCTTGCCGAACATTTCTTTAACGGGATTTTCGATTATTTCAAGGTCACTTTCACTTTCGTCAAGTGTCAAGTAAGGTGACTTTAAGTTGGAATGAAAGTTTATGTAAGACTAAGCTCGAAGAATTTTTGTTCTAATACTCAGGACCGATTTAGCTTTTGGTATACCTCGTTGGAACCCAGTGAAGCGTTGATTTTTCTCTTATTACTCCGAGCCATTTTTATAAATATTTTTTTATTATTGTTTTCGAGAAAAGAAAAAAGTATACCGCGACGCGTTTACGTGAATTATTGGATCTTCCCAAATATAGATAGCGTTTGTGATGAGATTCTTAGAGCTAGCCAAAACAATAAAATTAGCGTTAAAGCTCATCATTTTTATTATTGAGCAAGTCAAAAAGTCGAAATTTTTGTACTATCAAGTATTGTTCGTATAATAAACTCTTGCTATAATAATTATAATTTAACAATAAGAACAAGCTTATATAAGTCAAATAAATTAACAACATCAGATGCGATAAATAGATTTTCTAATATAAATATTATATATATTTTTATATATATAATATTATAAACTGCTCTTCTCAAAATATCTCAAAATATCATTGATATATTTTCATCCCTTCAGGTAATTAACTCGTTAAAATATTTATCGAACCACAAGTTTTTAGTATAGTGATCGACGGTTTTGTGTGACTTTGCAATGCAAGGTAGATATTCTTGGATAGCTTCGAGATTTTCTCACTAAAGAACTTTGTTTATTACCTTTTCAAATCATGGCGGTATGCATGTTAAAACTTTATTACCTATTATACTCGTGTTTTAAGTTTTCGCTTATAACTATATTACTTTTTTACGTTAGAGCTTATTTGGCTTTAGTGCTCCTGTGGATATTGATGTCCGTTTTGTAGGGGAAGAACAAAGAAAAATAGTAGAAGTGAAAGTCGATAAAGATCGTCGCGAAAAGTTTCCCTTGTATTTTGATGGGGAAACTGTCTCTGGTCAAGTAAGTTTTTGTTTTACTTGAAAAACTTTTCATTTTAACCTGTATACAAGATGTTTACTTGTGTTTAAATTCACGAGATAATTTTCGAATAGATAACGATTCGACCAAAGGATGGCAAAAAAATTGAACATCAAGGAATAAAGATAGAATTTGTAGGAAATATTGGTAGAGATTTCAGCTAGATTTTGTAATTGATCTATTAAATTGTTGATCTTATTTATTGATACGCTTAATAAATAATATCTTTTGTAGAACTCTTTTACGATCGTGGCAATCATTATGAATTTACATCATTAGTTCAAGAGTTGGCTGTACCGGGTGAGATGCGCCAACCGCAATCTTTCAAGTTTGAATTCAAAAATGTCGAAAAACAATATGAAAGTTATCATGGAATAAATGTTAAATTGAGGTATATCTTCTTTTCTCACCTCGAAATTTATTTCTATTCACACGAAAGATCACGAATCAAATTTAGCTTTCCTAGTTCTTCAATCTCACAAGAAGAATATTGTTGTTGTTGTTGTTAATACAAAAAAAAATATTCTAGATATTTTGTCAGAGTGACAATCTCAAGACGGTTGACCGCTGATATCGTAAAGGAAAAAGATATATGGGTGTATTCATATCGTATGCCACCGGATAGTAATAACTCTATAAAAATGGAAGTTGGTATTGAAGATTGTTTGCATATTGAATTTGAGTATAATAAATCAAGGTGAATAAAATTTCCAATTTTACACTTGTTTATTTATCGCGAGAGAGATAATGGATTTTTTTGTTTGGACAATTAAAGGTATCACCTTAAGGATGTCATCGTGGGAAAAATATATTTTCTTTTAGTTCGTATAAAAATCAAGTATATGGAATTATCGATTATTCGACGTGAGACGACGGGCGCAGGTTTAGTATACATTTTGAACTCCTTGTGGTTAGTAGTATTAACGATATTGTAAGATTGTCTTAAATTATCATGCTACCATTCATTTCTAGCACCAAATCAATATAACGAGAGTGAAACTATTACAAGATTTGAAATTATGGATGGTGCGCCAGTACGCGGTAAAGTTTATTGAAATACTTTTTTGCTTATTATTTTCATTCTTTATCAACTAATCTCTTAAAAAAATTTTAAAAAAAAGGCGAGACGATTCCTATTCGTCTGTTTTTGGGTGGATTTGAACTTACGCCTACTTTTCGTGATGTGAACAAAAAGTTCTCAACCCGTTATTATCTGAATCTTGTTCTCGTTGATGAAGAGAATCGACGGTACTTTAAACAACAAGAAATCACAATTTACCGAAGGCGAGGTAAGAAGCGTTGTCCCTATATATGTGGACAAAAAAGTTACATACCGATCAATTAAACGAGTTATTTGTCATTGCTTCATGTTGAAATTTGCTATATTTTTTTCTAGTTGATGATGGTCTACCTCCAGAAGATGGTAATGAATAAAGGAATCGTGCTGGGTGGTTTAACGCGCATTTATACATAGATAGCTTCGAGTTTTCAGCAGCCTGGAAAAATACACGCATTTTGCTATTTTTTGTAGATTCCATGTATTTTTTTATTTTCTAATTTATTTATGAATTTTTTAATCTTTCTAAAATAGACTTTTGTATTTTTTACTAGCTAAAAATAGCAATATTTTAAATACGTAAATATAAAAAGTTTATTCCCCTTTGATATGCATATATTTTAGCAAATAATTTCAACCGAAGAGAACGAGATAACTAATTCCGTGTCAATGAATAGCTGAATAGATAAAGTTTTATCAAATGATATGTATAATTGTGATGAATATAGTGTTTATTTGAAATCTATCCAAACAAAATAATCAACTACACAAGTTCCCAAATAAAAAAACATTTATTGATCGAGAATCCTGTAAATGAAAGAGACTAAGAATCCTTTGCATAATGATCTTTAACGTATTTTATTTCGTCGCCTTGCTCTGATCTCTCTCTTTGCCGCCTCGACTATTAAGTAATTCATTCCAATGAAAATTATTATATTTTGTACAAGTGTATAGGAGTAAGAAAGTCCAAAGGAAAAAAGCTATACAAGTTAAACAGAGATTATTATGGGTAGATAATGAAAAATACTTGAGATAATTAATATGAATAGAATCTTGGAATATCTTAAAAGTAATGGAAAGGAGAAATAATAATTATGAACTAGTTATTATTTTAGTTGTTCCCTGCTCAACGACCATTTCAGTAGTAGTAATAATAATGATGGTGGTGGTTGCTAATTTAGCTGTTTGATTGAAAGTAATATCTGTCTCTTTAACTTCAACATTTAATTCTTTTGTTTCTTCTTTAATCCCAACATTCGATCCACTTTTGCACTCTCCTACAACTTCCTTTGATATTTCACCTTTGTTTACTTCAACTGAATCTTTTATATTACTTGATGACGAAGATTCCTTGATAATTTTCTTAGATTCTTGCAACGCATTAATCCATTCGTCATGTTTTTGCAATTATCCAATAATCACGTGATATGGTCTTTTCTTGAGTTTAACTGTTAACGCCACGATTGATTTTGAATGGTTTTCCATATTTTGAAGGTTTTAATTGTTTTCCCTGCACCATTTTGTTTCTCCTGATTATAATAAGTCAAAAGTAACATCCTTGAGTATCGAGATTGTATACTGTACTCTTGAATAATTAAGATCTCCGTGATTTCGTTGGCCTCTGTTTGAATTATTCAAATAATCACGTGATTTGGTCTTCAAGCAAAATTTGTTTTCGTTTCGTTAGTTTCAATATCAACTACACGATCGATCGCTTAGCAACATCGTGTTTCTCCTGAATATAAAAAGTCAAAGTTAAATTCAGTTGCAGTGATTTCACGTGATTCTGTTGAATTTACTTTCATGTGTTGCTTCACTATGGATGTCCCACGTTTCAAGAAACTTGGAAGAACTTATTCTATTGATGATAAAAAAATAAATGGATATTAATCTCGAATAAAAAAAATATGTGTTAAAATAAAATATTATACTATCGAAGCATACACCGTTTAAAGATTGATGGTATTCGTTTTTGATCAGCGGAACTTTTCTGCTAATCCTGATGACGGCATCGCTTCGCTAGAACTCGAGGCTCACTTGCATGTATAACTAGTTTCGGTCGCTGTCTTTGCCTCTCCAATAGCCATTGTTGATTTTTGTGGTAAAAGTTTTTTCCGAAGTTTCCGACATGGGAATTTTTGGGCTCTCTGAGTTTTTCATTATCTTTCAAATGTACTTATTATGGGATATATTAGGATTAGCAAAAAATCCCCATATTTTTATGCAGTATAGTATTTATTAATTTATAGGAATTTGGGATTGATGGGATATGGGATTTTAATTTATTGAATATGGTAACGGTATACATCCAAAGATATATTATTATCTTTTCGGTTCTTCCTCATGCGTATTTTCTAATAATGGTATCTCTTCTTTTTCTTCGGTGTCGGATTTCCCACCGGGATTTTTTGAAGAAACCGACACTTGTTTTTATAAATTGGAGCAATTATTTATATCACGATCCCTTTTTAACTAAAAAACGTTATGTATCCGATTTTATAATTTCTCGATAGTTAAATAACGATGGATCATGCACTAAATGAAATTATTATAATCGGGATTTTTCAAAAGATCATTATATAGAGCTTTAGCTGTTATAAGTTTACAAGTAACTAACGTCGTGAAGTGAATAGTTGAATATATAATTTTATTAAATAATAAATAATATATATGATGTGATTAAATAGTGAATTATAAATTATAAGATATGCTATATGATGTAAAAATATATTATTTATGAATGGTGGTAATTAAAAAAAAAGACGTCTTTCTGTTATGCCCAAAAAATCAATCGATTTGAAACCTTCCCAAACAAAAAATTAACTAACCATACAGGTTTCTAGACGAAGAAATATTCATTTTTTGATCGAGTATCCCATAAGTGAAAGACTTTAACGTATCCCTTCGCAGCCTTGCGGGATTCTCTTTCCCCACCTTCTTGTTTAAGAAATTCATTCCAATGAAATTATTATATTTTGTATAAGCTTATATAAATGTATAGGAAAGTCCAAAGGAAAAAAAATTATTATAAGTAAAATACATATTATTAAGGGGTAGATAGTAAAAGAATTACACAAGCAAATTAATAATATAAATAGAATTTTTAGAATATTACAGATAATTTTAAAAGTAAGGTAAAGTAGAAACAGTAATTATGAACTAGCTGTTATTTCAGCTGCCTGCTCAACAATTTCAGTAGTGGTGGTGGTTGCGGTAGCAGTTGATTCGACAGCTTGACTGGAAGAGGAGGCAGCAGCTAAAGTAACTTCTGTTTCTTTAGCCTCTTCATGAACCTTCTTAAATGACTCTTCAACTTCTTTGGCCATTTCACCTTCATCAGTTGGTTGTGGTGCTTCAAGAACAACTGAATCTTTTATATTACTTGATGAAGGTTCCTCGGGTAAAGTTTTCTTAAATTCTTGCAACGCATTAATCCATTCGTCACGCTCTGCTTGATCTTTTGCAATTATCAAATAATCACGTGTTTTGGTCTTTACTTCAAACGAAACTGTTTTCGTTTCGGTAGTTTCAATCTCAACTCCACGATCGATCTTGATTGTTTTCCCAGTATCATCGTGTTTCTCCTGATTATAATAAGTCAAAGTGCCATCCTTGAAGAATATAAAGTATCGAGATTGTATACTCTTGAGAATTTGTGAATGTTTTTGAAGATGTCCGTGCTTTAGAATTTCGTCGGCTTTCTCTTTTACTAATTTCTCGTATTCCGTTTCAACTTTTGTTTCTGTTGGAGTCTCAGCATTTACTTCGGTAGTTACTTCTGGAGCAGCTGCCATTTCCGTTGAATTGACTTTTTCATGTGTTGCTTCACTGGGTGGAACTTGACGTTTAAAGATTCTATTGATAAAAAGATAAATGTTAATCTCGAATAAAAAATTATGTATTAAAAATAAAATATTATCGAAGCACAAACCGTTTAAAAATTGACCGTTTTTGATCGGCGGAACTATCTGCTAATCCTGTTGACGGCGTCGCTTCTTCCGTCTTCTCTAGAACTTGAGACTCACTTTCCTCAGTCGCATGTACAACTACAGTTTCAGCCGCCGTATTTGTGGTCTCTTCAGTAACCGTTGTTTCTGTGGCTTTTGCTTCTGATTTTTTGGAAAAAATTTTTTGAGTGATTCGTCGAGTGAGTGGCTGATTTTCTGACGTGAAACTTTTAGCTTTCTTTGACTCTTTGGGCTTTTCATCATCATCCAATGGCACATCCTCGTCTTTTTTCGGTTCTTTTTCTTCAGGCGTCTTTTCCAATGTCTCGTCCTCCTTTTTGCGTTCTTCTTCGGTGTCAGACTTTACTTCGGATTTTTTGGAGAAGAAACTGCCGAAACCAACACTTGGTCTCTTTTTATGTGCTGAAGATGATGCTGCTTCTTCCTTGGTTTTTTCTTGAGATACTACGGCTGCTGTTTTAGTTTCATCATCCTCTTTTTGTGCTGTTTCTTCAACGGCACCTTCAACTTTTAAAATAGCACATAAATAATATTATTTATAATGCATAATTAAAAAAAAACCAAAAAAACAAACAAACAAGAAATAATATAATTAAAAAAAATAATAACCTTCTGCTCCTTCAGCTGCTGGCTCGGTTTTTGGTTCGACTTTACTTTCTTCTTTACCAGAAGCAGCCTAATTAATCGAATCAACATAAATATGAGAAGATTATGCCAAAATAGCAATAATTAATTGATTGATTGATTGAATACATACAGATTTCTTCCCGAAGAATTTGCCAAATATTCCATCTTTCTCGGGTTTCTCTCCTTTCTTCACTTCTGGCGCTTCGGCGGCAGCGGCGGCTGTACTAGTTTCGGCACCAACTTCTTCATCAGATCTCGGTTCTTCTTTAATCTCATTTTCATCTTTCTTTTCGTCTTTTGTGTCTTCTTTGACTTCACCTTCTTTCGCTTTTTGTTTCTTTTGACCTTTAGAAAAGAAACTTAATCCTCCTTTTTTTCCATCCGGAGATTTCTCTCCTTCTTTGGGTTTTTCCTCGGTAGCAGCCGTATTAATTGTAGGAGGGGTGGTAACTTCGGCGGCGTTTTCTTCGTCAGCAGCTTCTTTCACAGTTTCTTCAGCTTCGGTAGTCTTTTTTGGTGTTGCTGTGCCAAAGAGATTAAAAGAAAAAGTTTTACGTTTTTGTTCGAGAGGAGTTTTTTGAGTTGAGCCGGTTGATTCTAATCGAGTTGCCAGTGCTTCAGGCTCGTCGATCTCATCACCGGAAGAAATAACATCAGAACCAACTCCATCGGCTGCTTTTTTGCCACTGAACGGTTCTTTACGATTAACTGGATTTATTCAAGGATTCATAAATTAATTAAACAAAAGATTGATCATGCGTATAATGAACAATAAATGAATAAGCGATGATGAATTAGTAAACTTACCCAAATCACTATAAACTTCTTTGAAGCCTGTTGTATTATACACCTCAGCAGCTATTTTTTTTGCTTCTTCTCTTTTTGCTTCGATAGTATTAACCCACATGTTCAATTCTTTTTTGTCGGCGGCGTGGAAAAAGTATTCCCGAGTTTTCGCTTTAATACTGAAAGCGAAACTTTTATTAGCTTGTGGATTCTTGTTGATTTCCACGATATCAGCGAGATCAACGATTCCTTGGGGCTGGGAGAGATGCTGAGTTTTGTTGGATTTATAATATAATAATAAACCTCTGCCGGTTTGTGTTGCATGTGCGATAGTGGTGAATAACGCTTTATTATGTTTTTCGTATTCAGACTCTTCACCCTCGGTGGCTGTTGCAGTGGAGGTAGCAGCTTCAGCACCATCTTCAGTTGCTGCTGCTTCAGCGGAGGCTTGTGGTGGTGGTTGATTAGTGGTATGAGCTTTACCGGCTTTTGGTAAATGCTTTACATGTCTTCGATGATATGTTACAAGATTTGTCTTGGGAATTTCTTTCTCGCCAAAGACAAAGTAATAATTATTCCAACTAACAAAGTTGCGAATATTACTAATTATATCATTATTACTTCTTCCTTTGTATAAATAACCTGAGTCTATAAATTCTTTTTCCTCTTGCTCTTGTTCCGTCTCTTGTTTTTCAACATTCTCGACCTTCTCGGAAACTACTGTTTCATGCACAATTTTTTCAGTTTTTACTTCAGTGGCTTCCTCTGTTACCACCCTTTTTTCTTCTACCACCGTTTCTACCCGTGTTTCTTCCACTTTTTGCTCCTCTTTTTTTTCCTCCTCCTTTATTTCTTCCTCCTTTATTTCGCTGGTTGGAACTGTCGAAGTTTCAACTTCTTGAATGTTGGTTGTTTTGTTGAGGGGGGTTACAGTGGCATTATTATCGACTTCCTCTGTCTTGTCAACTATTGCTGTCTCAGCAACTATTGCTGTCTCGGCAGAAGCCATTATTATTCTTTTTATATATATGTATAAGGGGAGAGGTTAAATAAATTAGACAACGACACAATAATGGAAAGAAAAAAAAAGAGAATTCCCAAATATAAATATAAATATAAATAATATGTATTTATATAAATAAAAAATATATTATAATATTATTCACACGCACATTCACACATGCATAAACGCTAAATTAATTTATTTGGTGATGGGCACATAAGAGAGTGATAGAACGAGAGAGAAAAGGGAAATTGATGTTCAAAGAGAAAGATGGTCTGCTGACCTCTTGACTTACTTGATAATTGGGTGGTAAAGAAATGAGGTTTTCCGGTCTTTTCTTTTCGTTCGATAGGGATGACGTCGATGACGATGAAGATTATATGTTATTAAATTAGGTAAGGGTGAATTGAGAAAAAAACGAAAGAATGTTTGAAAAAAAAAGAAAGGTTTAAGAGGGAAAACGATTGAATATATAAAAAAAGGAAAAAAGGTCAGAAAAAATTGGAGCCAACAACTGGTTTAATACTTGATCGAAAGATGCACACATAATATATAAAAAAAGGGGGTTAACAAGAGAACACAACACACAATAGAACAACGAGATGCATCAGCTGCAGCAAAAGAAGTAAGTGTGCTGGTCATTCCGGACATCTTACTCGCATAACGCCGCACACATTTTTTCATATAACCTGTGTGTAAAAAAACTATACAATAATATTTGAATAGGTCACGTCATTCTCTTCATAATTTTCGATATTTATGGCTATATATTGAGTATAAGTGTGTATGTTATTATGTATGTGGGTGCGTATGATTCCATCACTTCCGAAATGATTTGCTCCGTACCATATAAACGTGGTAATATTTAATTGATATAAATTAATATGAATTTGAAAAGGAATTTCCGAGTTTATAATAGCATCTACGTGTATGGATGAACTAATCGATGCTGTATCAAGTTGGGGGGATGTGTATGTGTATGTGTATGTGTATGCGTGTGTGTGATTCCTTCTGTATTGTATCCAAAGAAAGTAAGTTGTGCTCAACGCGTGTGCTCAATCGGTATTCAAGAACCGCGTGGAAGCACAGCTATATAATTTATACATTAATTTAGTATGCTGTTTAACATTAAAGAAGAAAGCATTTACTTTTTACTCGCTCGTCTTTTTTTTTTTGTTGTTTTTTTTTTGTTGTATAATTATTTATTCTAAACCAAGGACTCGGTGATACGCTTTACCATTTTATTATTGTTTGTCTTTCTCTCTCTTTCTTCTTTCTTAATGGTGTTTGTATTCTACCACCCGAATCAAATGCCTATTGTTAATTGTAATTTCAAATTTTTTATGTCTTATCGTTGTGACATCTCGCATGCGATATGGTTAGTTTCCTCTTTGTAATTCATTGTTTTGATGTAATTACAAATAAGTTCATGAAAGAATAAATTCTTCGACCAAATAAATTAAATTTGACATCTTTCTTTCTTTCGTCCAATCAGAGGAGAAATTCAAATATTAAATATTATCTACCACCATGCCATGCTATCTCGTTATTTAACTAGGTTATTAATTTTGGAGAATAAGTTGATCCATTTTGACACGAGCAAAAAAAAAAAGATCGAATTCATTGCTCGAAAAGTGAATGATTCCCCACAATTTTTTCAAAAACCAATTTATTGTGCATGCGTTATTTGTTTATCAATCGATTAACCGTGGATTTTAATGTCTCACGAAATTTCAAAACTCACACAAACGATATCACCCAAAGTGTCGTTAACGACGACGAAATGCACAAAGTAAATCATTACAGATCATCACGTGCAATTTAATTAAAAGTCATGTAACAATAAAAAGTCACGCCACCATCATTTTTTTATTCCCAAGTACAATAAAAAGTAACAAAAGTAACACAATCGAATACAATACCCAAGACAATGGGCAAATTCAATATCATTTCCCTTGATGATGAAATGACACTGATCATATGAATTCCATCTGGAGTTTCATTCTTAAGCGTTCCATATTTATTAAAATGGCTTAGTCTTGCTCCATTATTGATGTAATCAAAGAGTCTATCCCTTCCGTTTTGGAGAGTTGGTTTAAACACAATACTGGGGCTTTGTCTGAATGACACGACGGATGATTTCCTTTCAGAAAATATAGCGATATCGATATTTTTATTAACATGACGTAGCCAACCCCATATTTAGATAATTATCATTTAACATTAAAAATCTCCGGCTATAATCATTTTTAATTAAATCTAATATATTTTATTTTAAAATAAATATGAGTATCATATATCATAAAGCAATGACGATTAATTTTATTTAAAAATAAGATTATTTTATATATGACACTAAAGCTTTATATTTAATATTTAATCTATTTTTATTTATTTTAGCTGAATCTAATTAATGACTAAAGTTATTTTTTTTCGGTAAAATATTTCAATTTCAAACATTTGTTTAAATTGTTATCTATAATATAAAATTATATTATTTCAATTCAAATTAATTTTATTTGAATTAAAATTTAAAAAATTTTTAATTAAAAATTTATTTATTATAATAATATTAATATTTATATAAAAGTTAATACTAGATCAGTTTAATAAAATATCTTGAACTCGGTTCAAAATTAAATATTTGTTCAAATATTATTAATAACACTTGATATTTAAATTAATATATTCAAATTTCTTTTGAATATTTAGATTTGAATTTGAATCAAGTATTTAAATTTAAATATCAACTCTAATATTTATATACTTAAAATTTTATATAAAACTTTTTTAATAAAACTTTTAATATATTTTTTTATATATTCTTTAGAAATTTATAATAATTAGTATCAAGTTTGATAAATCATATTAGTGATGTTTAATATTATATCACATAAGAATATATAATTAGCTAATGTAATCATATAATATTTTTATTTGATCAAGTATCACATGAGGATATATGATTGATTAATATAAATAAAATACATAATTTTATTAATCATATAATATCTTTTATTTAATTAAGTATTTGACTAAAGTATTCTAAATTAATATTTCTTTATCTTTTCTTGCTATCTTTTTTTTTTAAATTTTATTTTTATCTTTTTTTACTTTTTCTTTATTTAGCTTTCTTTTACTACATGTTTGCTTATTTTTTCACTAATCTTAAACTAGTTACTAGTATTTTTCTTTCTCATTAAACATATTTATTCATTATACTCTTTCTTATTATAAATATTATATATTCTCTTTTTATTCTTGTTTATTATATTATTAATAAGATTATTTAAATTAATATTCTTTAGAACTTTTTATGATAATTTCTTATAATTTTTATTATTAATATTATTCTTATTATCATTTAGATCAGATTTAAATTCAAATATCTCTTTTTTTTGCTTTTATAATTTAATTTTACATGATTAAATTCTTTGAACTTTTAAACTTTTATCTTAATATTAATGAGATTACTAATAGTAAAAGTAAACTTAATAATAATATTATTATTCTTAACTTAATTATGATATATCAATCTTAATCACATCAAATATTATATCATATGCTAAATTTTTCATATATAATATAATATAATATATAATATAATACTACAAATAATATTTTATATACTATATAATTATGTAATGATAATAATATATATATGATTAACTTAAAGTTTAATTTATTTAGAACTTGATTTTAGTAATTCTAACTAATTAAAATTCTTAATCTTATTATTATTATATATAATTTATATAATTAATATGATTAATTCTTGATATGAAAAATTAATCTGAAATTTTTTATTAATAGGATTATAAGAATAAAAGATATAACTTGATATTTTTTTTAATATTTATTCATATTATTATTATTTAATATATATAATTATATAATTATATTCAAGTAATTTATTATTATTATTATTATTATTATATGTATAATTATATAACTAATACTTTCTTATTTAATATTTATATCTAGAAATAGTTAATCATATAAGAAATCTTTAATTAGTAATATATTATAATATAAAATTAAATTATATTATCATGTAAATTTCAATCTGCATAATATTAGATATAAGATCAGATCTCATGATTAGTAAAATTAATAATATAGAATTAGTAAAATTAATATATATAACTAAAATATAATAATACAAAATCTCAGATTATTGTATCATTAAGAAAAATGGGAAAGATAGGAAGATAATCTGATATAGAATATACTAATAAATTCTGAATATATGAAGATATATCAATAAGATACTAACTAATAAATCAAAATAAAAATGATTTATTAGTCTTGATAATATGAGATCATAATAAAAATAATAGAAGAAAATTTAATTATAAATAAGAACTTTAAAATAGAAGTGAGATAGAATTATAATTAAGAATTAACTATTAAATAATTTATTATTATAATAAAAATTCTTATTAAATAAAATAAATATTACTATTATTCTTAAATAAATATATATATTTCTTTAAATTATTATTAATCTATTCTCATACTCTCTATTAATAAAGTAGTTTATTCTAAGACTATGAATATTAAATAATAAAACTATGATATCACAATTAATAAATCAACTTCTTAAACAGAAACTAGCACATTAACTTAAAAAATTCAATTAACTTAATAAGAAATTAGAGTATTAATTAATAAAATTATAAATTAATTAATAAAAAACTAATTAAAAACTCATCTAAAATAAAGATAAATTATGTGAATCAATAATAATTAGTTAGAATATACTGTTACCGTAGTAACATAATTTCTTTAATTTCATACTTTTTCAAACTTGGAAAATGTGACCAATCAATTGATCTTTAGACAACATGTGATTTTGAACAGTATAATTGGTGTATCAGTTATGGATTTAGTCACAGTTCAACAATATTTTTACAATGTTCTTGCAACGTTTTTGCAAC